GGGGGGCAGGGGCGGCGCTGGACTTGGGAACACATACCCGGATCTTCACTTGTGTGCGCTTTCGCTGCCACTTTTCTCGGGGTATAGCAGGGCTGTAGATGGAGCTCTCCTCACACTCTGCCATCTGGGGGCGCTCCTTCTCTATTACCTGCAACACATCCTCCCATCATGCACCTGTAAGCTGCCTCACCAACCCTACCATGCCTCAGCCCAGCATAAGCCCCACCCTGTCTCGTGCCCAGCTCTGCCCTTGGCTGCCAGCCACCCCACCCCTCCACAGGTCTGCAAGCAACACAGGCTCCCAGCCATAATCATTATGGCTCTCTCCACCAGACGTCACTCCCACCCAGAACTGTCTCCTGCCAGACAGCCCTTCCACCTTTGGCAGTGCACCTGTCGCAGGATGAAGGCCACCACATCAGAGGATTCCCAGTAACTGGCATGGAAGAGGTGGGGCAGAGTGATGGTGGGGAAGGCAGTCAATGCATCAGGGCAGTACAGCAAATAGTCAATGCGCTTCACACCCCACCACCGCTCCAGGACTGCAAGGAAAATCATGTTAATAGCACCTGGCCCTCTCCTAGCCCACAGTCCCAAGCCTACAGCCACCCCTGACCTCTGCTTAGCACTCTCTGTATCTCACAGGATGTGCCCAGCCACTCTGGCCTTTGCTCTCCCACTTCCTGACTGGATCCTCTCACTTCGCATTCTCCATGCTATATCCTGGTAGCACCCTGGCCTGTAGCCCTACCAGCATCACCACCCTAGCCTTTGGCCCTACGAGCATCACCACCATGTCTTGTGCCACTCAGCTGGTATCAGGACCCTCAACTTGCCCTAGATTCTAGTGTAAGAGCCAAAGCCTGGGTGAGGCAGTCAGACCATTATAAGAACTGGGACCCCAAATGAAGGAGGAGGGGGGTAAGAGTTCCCAAGTATGCAAGAGGGGACAGGGTAAGATCTGGAGAACACTGGGCATGTACTTACTCTTGACAACCTCACTGGTGCTGGTGGGTGTGGGCATCTCACCCACTTCACTGCCTCTCCAGAAGCCGGCAAAGCCACTCGTGGGGGTGACGGGAACCGTCACCTCTGCATCATCGAGGAAGAGGGCAGAATGCATCTGCAGGGCCTCAGCTAGGCCGGGGAGAGCACAAGATAAAATCAGCAACCCCATGCTGGAGACTCCAAAAACCACTATAGAACCTACCCAAAGGACCTATCATCCACCTTCCAAGGGACCTCACTACCACAATGAAAGCCCCCTTCCAGGCTCCACAGACTCCAGATAGGATCTAACCCACTGCCACCTCCCTAGGAAAGTCTACTGCTGTAAGCAGGTCATGGTGACCTCCTGAGAAGCCTCAGGCCCAGAAGTCCAGGAGACTTAGAACTGCTCCAAATAGTGCAGCTTTGGCCTGTGCCCCAGCAGCAAGCACTGTAGCTAGGGAGAGAGAGAGAGAGGGCACTAGATGCTGCGAGTCTATGCTCCAACAGGTCTGATGGGGACCAGCCCTCCTGTGCAGGGCTGAAGCTAAGCTACCCTAAAGAGAGACCAAGAATCAGCATTCTTCCCTTCACACTTTCCTCCTTCCACTTCAGGGCCCCTGTCCTACCCTCCAAGTACCCTAGGGGAGAGTCTCTGGTGAGTAGGACTGTCCACCAATCCCATCTGCTAGCACTTTGCCCACAGAGCACCAGGACCTGTCCCCAGGCTGCCCTCTACTATTCACTGAGCAACACAGCACTTCAGCATGTCCAGGGGGTAGGCCAAGATACCCTAGGCTGGCACTCCCCATGCTGCTCCCAACATTACCTGGGCACTTGCATCCAGAGGTGCAACTCCCTCTCCCCCACAGGATCTGGGACAATATGGCCCCATTGCAGGGCCACACAGAGGCCCAGGCAGGCTCACGCTCCCTGTTGGGGCAATAGGGTTGCAAGGATTCCTCTCTCAACAAGTGCTGCACACGGTCTGGTGAATGCTGAAGCACTGGCAGCAATACTGGGAAGGCCCAACATTATGGTCATGCTCAAAAACAGGCAGCTGCTGCAAGGCACAGAACACCATGGCAGCAGTAGGGGACCAGTAGTCTTCACCATGTAACAAGGTTACCCAAAAGTAGCAGAGGAAGGACTGGGATCCACTCCTTGGAAGCAGAACATGGACTACAGCAGAGAAAGCAATGCAGGCATCTCAGAGGTATGCTGATTTACCACACCCCCTACCCCTACCCCCCATTGTGCTGCCCTCTGTGGTCAATCCCCAGCCCAGGAATCAAGGTGCACATCCAGCCATGGGCAAGTGCCATTGGGGTCTGCAGGACTGTCGCTGTCATCAAGTGAAGTGCGAGACAGAGTCCTAAGGGACTGGCATGAGAGCCCAGCTTGGAGCCATGAGCACACTTTCCTGAAAAGTAAATGCTAGAGCTCAATGCCTAAGAGGGGGCCTTGTCCAAGAGAAAGTGCCATGTTTAGACATGGCTGGTTTTGCACAGCCACAAAAGCTGTGTGTCCCTCCCCCAGCCACAAAAGCTTTGCCCTGGTACCATCCCAATCCTCCAGTGCTATGCCAAACCCTCACCCAGCAGTGCAGAGGTTCCATCTCCCAGTGGGTACTTCTGATAGCGGGGCACACTCAGGGGGGGCATGGCATGGAAGGCCTTCGCCAGCAGGGGCTCCAAGCGTGAGGCGCAAGGGTCAGCAGCATGGAACAGGTTGTAGATCTGGTCACAGGCAGGGCGCAGCTGGGCCACTGTGAGAAAAGACAAACAGGGTCAAGGCATAGAGGAGACCAGGTCCCAAGCAAGAGGGACCGGGATCTGCACAGAAGGACTGGGGTTTGTATTGATGTGCAGTAGGAGTGGGGATTTGGGTCCATGCTAAAAGGTTGTGGAGAGCAGGATGGCAACAAATATCTGTGTGGAGAGCAGTAAGGAGGGAGATGCTCTGTGATTGCACACAGGAGCCATGCGGAGCAGCAGGACCTCACCATCCATGGCTGGCATGACCGTCTTGCGCAGAGCGAGGACCAGTCCCAGGGGTGAGCCAAACAGGAAGAAACCAGACACCTTGAAATCGAGGCGGGCACTTGCACTTTCAGCCCCATCCAGCACCACGCACACGCTGCCTCGCTGTGCCTCCCCCTCCACTGGGGGGACACTGGCCTGCAGGCTAGAGGTAGAGCAGAGTACAGCTGCAAAGGCTCACAACAGCAGAGTGCAGTGCCCTCCCACACACAGGGCACCAGCCCCAGGCCAGAGGCAAAGGGTAGGAGCCTTTCCCTTCCAAGGGGCACTGGCCCCAATCCAGCTCCAGAGTGGGGCACTGTCTGGTTCACAGTAGGAATGGAGCTTGGGGCCTTTGCCTCCTGTCTGTGTCTTCTCAGAAATCTCAGGGAAAGCACTGTCTTTGTGGAGCTGTTGAGTCTCAAGCCCCTTTTGTGTCTCCAATGGCTCGGCCTTGGAATCGGTGGCATCCCTAGGAGCAGGCTGAATCTGGCAATGCCTTCTCCCATAATCGCCTGTTGCCTGATCTGGGCCCATGCTGGGGTTTATGCCCAAATGGCGCTGGCCGTGCCACACAATGGGAACACAGCCTGCCAGCAGCCAGCTTCTTGAACTCCTCAAGGCTTCTTTAGGAGCAGGGAAGTATTGGGTTTTGAAAACTCACAGGTTATAACACAAACACTGCTCCTATTTGTAGTCACTTGGCATATCCCTGAGCAACTGCAGGAGCCAGATACCCACACTGCAGTACCCAACAGGCAGCCCAAGCACCAATTCACCCTAACAAGCACATACCATTCTTGTGGAAACCCCTCCCAGGGGCACCCTCCTGGAAGAGGGGCAGGAGGCACTCTCACCTGCATAGGAAGTTGTGTTGCTGTCGCACGGAGTCCACATCTCTGCATTCCCGGGGGGGCAGAAGTGCCCCTGGCTCAGGGCTGCCCCTGCTTGGCCCTCCTACTCCATCTGCCCCCTCGACAAGTGGGTCCTTCCCACTGTGCAGCTCTGGAGAGATTGGTTCTGTGCTCTGAGCAGGGAAGGGCTGATTCAGTATCATCATTAAAAGCCCTTGCTCCAGAGGCACCCCTGGAAAGCAGGTGTCACTTGCTTGCCCCCAAAGCAGTGTCTGCCCTCCCCAGAACCCCATCTCTGGTCTGAACTCCAGGGCTCTTGGGCTTGCTGGCCTTCCCTGGATAGCATGTGGGCATAGGGACCTAAAGCCACTGATGGTACAGCAGGCCAGTGCTGCCAACACACACCACTGGAGAGGGTACATGGACAGTGCAGACTGACATGGAGGACAACATGAGAGAGAAAGGGGTCCCGCACAGGAGGGGATCCCCAGAGGGACAGACTCTCTAAACCCTGGCTCCCCATGTTCTGGTGGGTCCAAACACTCACCAGGCTCCCTCGGCGGCTGCTACCCCGACTTCCGGTGGTACCTGCTCGGCTCTGGCAGAGTGCATCAAAGCCCAAGATGCCCCCAACACAGTCACCAATCAGCACCACCTGCCCAGGAGCGGTACCAGTGAAAAATCAGTCCGGCATCTGTAGAGTACCCATGACACTGAACTGCCCATGAACAGGAGAGGGGCATGTCCTCCAGGGAGCAGAACAAATCATGCAGACCCCTGGGGTAGAAAGGAATGTGCTACAAAGAAGCCATTCCCTCAGGGCCAGAAGCAATGGGAGACCAGCTGCTAGATAGCTCCCTTGACCCAGAGGTTGAGGTGGCTGAGCCAACAGCAGCAGGGTTGGCAAAAGCTGAGCAGTTAGACAGGTAAGAACCCCAAACCTGTCGGGTACATAGACCTCTCTTGCTGGCATCTAACCTGTGCTGGCTGTATTTGCTAGCTGCACCCTGGGGCCAACATAACCTTTCAGGGCAGGTGTTGTGAGTGATGCACCCAGGCATTCTGCTCTGCCATGGAGGGAAGGAGCTAAGACCATTTAGGTGCACGGTGGGGCCATGAAGGACCTCAAGATCAAAGGAGCTGAGAGACTTTTCCTTCTCAGGGCTGGATAAGAGGTAGGTACTTAGATAAACCAAAAGGCAGGATGAGCTAAACAACTTCAGACCCCTGAAAGCCAGTTACATCTAGGCAAGGACCACATCTTGGCTCTCCCAATGCTCCTGCCCCACTGATTTCCCCTCCCTAGTGGCCAGTATACCCCATTGTGCCACTGCACCCAACCCATAGCATTGCTCTGCCCATATAGGCAGTGCTCCAGACCCATAGCAGTACCCTGCCCTGCCCACAACTACCATCCCCTCCGAGCAGCACTCCAAGGATACAGCTTGCACTGCATCTGGATGCCTAGGGTAACTCCTTACCTGGCCACAGAAGCCATTGCCCTCAGCAGAACGCAGGAAGGCATTGTAGGCCTGGTTGGCACGAGCAATGACAGTGGCCACAGCATATTGGTAGCCACCCGAGGATGTAGCTAGGAGTGGTAGGGCAGCCAAAGGGATGTGGTCCTGGCTGCTGGACAGGCTGTCCCCATCATGGCTGTAAGGGCTGAGGCTGTGGAAGAGAAGGAAGATAAATGAGACTTCCCCATTCCATCACTCCTGTGCAGCAGTTGCCATTCCACACAACTGGTGAGTGGGGCCATACTACTTGAAAGGACACCCCTGTGTGGTGTGAGACATACATACTTGGAGACAAGGGCATAGGCAGCAGCACAGATGGATGGACAGGGCACCAGGCGCAGAGCCACATGGCCCAGTGCCTCAGGGAAGTGGACACGAGTGACAGCATCAAAGGTGGCGGCCAGGGTCTGCACATCAGCCTTCTTGGAACCTGGCTCCCCTGTGCCCTGGTCCAGGATGTTCCCACTGTGCAGAATGAGGAAGAGCGCGTGGATACAGCAGGCCTGGGCTGCACACTCTGCCAAGCCACCCTGTAGAAGGGAGAGTGCCAGTCAGTGAGACAGAATGTCCATGGGGCAGGCACAAGGCTCTTAGGCCATGCTGTCCATGGTCTAAGAGCAGACCAGTTACACTACAGCAGGTGCTGGGGAGGTGCCACCTGCTGGCAAAGTAGGCCAACAGCATGCACACATGGGTGAGGAAAGGAAGATGCACCTATCCTTCCCCCCACCCCCGGCTCGCTATGTACAGCTGGCTCTTCCTTCTCCTTGTGGAAGATGGATCCTGTGCCAACACAGAACATGGCCCAGGATTCCTGAGGCGAGGGGGAAAAAGGGAAGCCTGGACTATAAGGCAAGAGCTGGGTGGAGTGCACATACCTCAGAGAAGCTGGCCCCAGTCAGCCTTTCTCCATCAAGTTTGGCCACAGCAGCTCCATCACCTAGAGACAAAGCTTGGGTGAGCATGCTCAGCATGGCAGAGGCCCAACCCTGTCATATATGGTTACCCCAGACCCTGGCCCACACTCACCTAGCCCCTCATCCAGGTCTCCTGGTCGCTCCAGTGTGTCCAGGAAGTCATTGGAGTTCCACTTGGTCATCTCCTTGGCAAAGACCTCATCACTGTCAGACAGATCCTCTGCAGGGGACAGCCCATGAGACAGACATCTACATCCATACACACCCACAGAGAAAACCCCGGGGGAACACAGAACCCTCCTGGCAGAAACATCCCACCACCCTCCCCCAAAAGCACAAACTCTTCATTCCCCATTCAGAGACCACACAACCGATTCATGCTACCCTCTCCCCACAGTTCCTGGTGCAGACACCCTTCTCTCTCCTTCCCCACCCCACAAAAACAGGTCCTTGTACCATGGGCATCAAAGAACTCTTCTTCAGAGCTGTTCTCTGAGTCACGAGCGATGTTCTGCATACGCCACTCTGAGAGACTCTGGGGGGAGACACCCCCTGCAGGGGATGAGAAGTAAGAACTGAACACTGGGAACCCAACAGCCCCCCACAGTGACCACCATGCTCATCACTCCTGCCCCATGTCTCACCACACCCCAGACAGCCCTCCCTACACCACACCCGGCTGAAAGACCTTCCCTGGTGCCAGCTGTGCCCCTGCACACTGTACAGCACTCCCTGGGTGAGAGAGTCCAAAGCAAGAGCTTCAGTGAGTCGGCTGGGAAAGGCAGCAGCAGCCTTCCCCAGGGCCAGCACAGTTGCTCTGCTCCAGACAATAGTGCCTACTGAGGCTGGAGCAGTTGGGAACTCCCTTTCTTCTACATTCAGTGTTCCTGCCCTGCTCCCCACAATGCACTGGGTGGGATAATTCAGAGCTGGAGTAGCCAAGAGCTCCCACACGGCCAATGCTACTGCCTTGCTCCCTACTGTGTCCCCTGTCTGATTGGGGCTCACCCTTACCTCCATGCTGGGATGAATGCGAGGAGCGGGAAGACAGTGACCACTGCTTAGCAAAGGTATCATCTGGGGAAGTGTCAGAGACCCCCTGAGCTTCAGTACCCTCCTGCCCATTGGTGCCACCCAGCTCAACATGGCCTACAGTGGTGGGGGTAGCTGAGGGGGCCTCCTCAGTCTCGTTGCACTTGGCCATCTTCTGGGCCAGCATACGGGCTGTCTCCTCCTCCAGCTGCCGGATGTCCTCCATAGTCAGGTCCGTCCACTCATCCTGCCAGCACCAAGCCTGGCGGTGTGCCCGCAGCATCACCTTACGCAGTCCTGCCAGAAAGGTGACTGCAATGTAAACAGAGCATCCCTACACAGACACACACAACTGGCCATTGACCACTGCATCATCCCACCTGTCATGGTGCAAGCCAGCCTTCAGGGCTGCTTCTGCCTAGTCCAGTTCCTGACCTCTCTGGCTGCCTTGGCACTGGCACTGAAAGCCATGCCTTCTGCTGTTCCCTGGACCCCACCTGCCCCCCCCCACCGCACCTGTCCCCATTTCCTGGTGTCTTGGGCTCTTTCTTCCCCTCTCTGATTGGCCTATGTTGATCCCAGTCCTGTATGGGGCCCGACTCCCTCAGCCTACGCCCACAGACATCTGGCTGCCAGCTTTCCCCACAGTCCCTCGGCACCCCCTCTGCCTCCAGGTTCCAGCTCTGACCTATCCTCCCACTCAGCTTGTTCCTTCCTCCCAGACATCCCTGCCACTTTCTTCACCACTCCTTCCCCTCCAAGAATCACTATTAGCCAATATGCCCTTGCCAAGGCCTAACTTTCCACACCCTCCCCAACTCTCTGTCTATGGGATAGCACACTCACCAACATCATGGATGAACTGCTCTATCTTGGACTGCATGCCCCAATAACGGAACTCCACTTTGCAGAGTTTGTAAGCACACATGAGGGCTCCCTTGGCTGTGACCTCCAGCCAGTCTTCACCCAGTGGTCCCCGGCCTGTCTTCACCGACCGATACAGCTTGGGGTCCTCCTCAGCCTTGTACTCATTGGGTGAGATGGGGTCCCGCACAATGTCAATCGTGTCTGCAGAGCACACACACACACACACACACATACACAGAGCACCTGCCACTCAGTGCTTGGGCCCCCAATGCTGTGACTCACCTGGGCCTACCCCACTCAGGCAAGCAACCCCTGATCCAGGAAAACAAACATCTACCCCTTCCCACACCACAGAGCCTGTTGGCCCCAAGACCTTACTCAGGGGGAATACAGGATCCGGTCCACAGCAATAGGTGGTGTTCCCCTGCAGTCTGGCTGAGGGGTCAACCCTCTCTTGGCTGCAGTGACCGCCTGGGACAGCACTGGCCAAATAGTTCCTGGCCTCCCCAATCCCTGCTTTTCCTCCCTCCTGACTGTCACTGATGTCCCAGCAATGGGGTGGGGGGCAATGGGGACTGGACCTCAGCTCATTTCTAAGTAACAACAACTGGGTTCAGTCACCCACTAAGGAAGATACTGGGCATCTCATACCCTGACCTGTTACTACAAGTAGGACTACTGAATGCAAAAGGGTTGGGATTGGCAGTCACCCTCAATATCTCTCTGGCCCTCCTGGTGCTCTCCAAGTGGCATTTTCAGTCCCTGAGAGCTAGCACAGGAGAACACTATTCTCCTATTCAGCAAACCTGAAGATTTTAAATGTCTTCCAGCTTCACACTGGAATGAACCAACCATCCTTCAAGGTTCTCCCACAGAAAATGGGAGTACAACCAGCACATCCAACAACAGTGCTCAACGGGAACAGGGATTTGCACCTACCTCTCATCTGCAAGAGAGGCATCCTGTAACAGGGAGCCAGGGTCTCCTGTTACTTTAAGAGGAAAAAGCAGCA